TGGTGCTCAGCAATTCCCTGGAGCAAAGCGGGTGGCAGAGCGCTGTGGACAAAGGGAGTGCACCAAGCTGCTCCAGGCGCCTTCGAACACACCATTCCCTCCTGGTTTGCTGCTGCCTGCTTGGACACTGCGACAATAATTGGAGCTGCAGCTCGGGGATTCAAGCAGCTGAGGAATTGTCCCGGCGCGGGGCACAGGAGGCGGCACAGGGGAACAGTGGCTCCGGTCCGACACCAGGGGGAACTGGAGCATCCAGCGGGGCGTGGAGCCATCGCTGTGCTCTCCCTCGGCTTTGGCGGTGTCCTACAGAGTGCTCTGCAAGTTCGGGCCACTGCAATCTCTGCTGACATCCCTTTGTGTCTCTAGGTGCCGCTGGCTTTGCTTTTAATGCAGCAAATTTATGGGCTAAACGCAAACTCCTCTCCGGAGAAATGATGCTTCTCGTTGCCTGCATTATCCTGGCATATCCTCTATGTTGTGGGGCTGTTGTGCTGCAGTAGATATGGAGCAGTGACAAATGTGTGCAATTTATCAGAGACTTAAAATCTGAGTGGGATGGGAAACAGACTGTTCCAGTGACAGCTGCAGTTGGAAAGTGGATAATAACCCCTGTAGAGTGAAACAGCAGTGCCAGAGTCCTTGCTTGCATTCTCTATCCCATTCTCCAAACTCTGCCTTCAGTGATGCAAAGTTCATGTGCTCCTTCCTGATTGAAGAACCATGATTGGAAATTTGGAAAATGCAAACTGTTCTTCACAAGCAAACAACTTTCCCCATGTCCAGTGGGGATTGTTTTACAGTATTTCCTTAGGGAGAGGAATGAAAAAAATCAATATATTAGTATTTTTGTGTTGAATATTAGTGTAACAAGCAAAATCAGGCAGGAACAGTGGGTGGATTTATTTTCGCTACTGAAAACCCTGTGTTAACACTGGCCCTGTAAAATGCAGGTCTTAGGGTTTGGGTGGGTATGGTGAAAACCARGTTACTGGAAACTGGCTACCAAGGAAGTTCTGCTCAACAGCAGTGGCAGAATTATCGCCAAATTTAAAAGAAACAGTATGTATGTGGTCAGTGTCAGAAACCAATCTTTAATAGCCAGAAATTGTTCTCAATTTTTGCTTTGACTACTGAACTTGAATTTCAAAATAATAACTCTGGATGACGCAGGTTTTCAGTAGGGTTCCAGGTGTCCTACAGAGTTAAGAAACTGAAGTGCAAACAATAAAACTTTGAGCAGGACTAGGTCAGTCCTTAATGCAGGAAAATATTCCATTCAGTGGCTTTTTTAGAAGTGGGGTGTCAATGGCCTTTGACAAAGCACTGCATCATGCTTGGGCAATAACTACAGAGGAGACATTACCAGCTAGGACCTGCCAAAGCAATGCTGGATGGAGATAGTGAAACTTTTGGAATTCACATTTTGGAAAAATAAAGCTGGTAACAGATTTTCTTTGGAAAATTCTCCTTTGTTTTTAGTGATAGCAGGACTTGGGACTTGCATGGATCAGACTTGTCCCATCACTGACAACAAAATCGACCCTCATCCTGCTGGGACAGGGGTTTTGTATCACCCACAAGATCTCAGGGAGGGACCTCACAAAGGTTGTAGGGACAAAATGGAAATTACAGAACTTAATCCAYAGCCCGTTAATTCATTAATTGTTTCTCTGTGAAGAACATCATTAAAACTTCAGACCACCCTGGTCCAGAACTTCAAATCTACTCCCGGCAAATGCTGGATCCAAAGGAAATATGCAGGTAGTGACTGGTTCCTTCTGATGCCAGTTGAAATGCTGAAAATGACAGCCTTCCCTGATGAGCAATTTCCTAGGCCATTGTGATGCTCTGTCTGGTCTTTTGTTGCAAAACTCAAGAATTTGGAGTGCCAAAAAAAAAAAAAAGAAAGAAGAAGAAGAAATGTAAATCCGATTATTTTGGAACTGTGATGCAATATTTGAATGAGATGGRTTCACAGTGGCACCTAAWAAATACTGATGTCCATGTATCTCACTGCAAGTAGTTTGGCTGAGTATGTGTCTTGTTCATTCTATTTTTARGTAGAACATGAAATATAGTCGTGAACCTGCTGAGGAAATTTGGATTCAGGTTTTATTGGTTCCTCAAACTGCAACCCAGATGGGAAAAGATTTATGGTAAGTGTCAGGGGGATTCTCAAACAGAAAAAAAAGTTAATCATAATGAAAAATTAGAATGCCAAGATAGCTCACCACCTCTCAAAACCCCAAAGCCCAACAGCTACYCCCCAAACCCAGAGATTTCCTGACCTCCTTCTGTACAACCAAATACTATTCAATGGATAGATAAAACAAGAGTATGTGCATTTCCATGTGTAAATTGTGATTTGCTAAGTAAGCAAGAATCTGTCCTTAATTTATGGCAGATGAAAAGGTTTTATCCCGTACTGAGAGACTGGTTTGTTTTCTCATGAGTAATGGGTAGGAACGGGATGTTGCTGGTCCTCAGGGATGTGTTGATCCAGTTTAAGGATATCATTAGTGCTGTACATAGAAAAGCTTTGCAGGTTGTAAACCAACCAGACAGCTAGAAAACACCAGTTTCCTGTTGCAGGGGTTTWGAAAGAGAAGTTGTATCTTTAAATAAAGGCTAGAATTAAGTGAAAGTCCAGTTCTTAAAGAGACATGAATGGGCTTTCACTCAGGCTGAATTGTGCAGGGCAGCAAAGGGCAGCAATGCCTATCTCAGCTGCAGCTGAACCCAGACCTGGTGAAGYTTGCTTCTTGCTGCTCTCAGAGCGCTCTTATGTCCCATGGAGGCCRGAGATTTTAAGGGGAAATTACAAGAATACTCGTGCTGCTCATACAAACAAAATGAAAATGGAGATTTTGGTTTTCACTTGAATTTTCAAAGATTTAACTCTGCTCCTATGAGGAGGAATCTGCATAAACTGTTTGCTGGAGAGCCCAATGCTTAGAAACTCCGCTGAAGCTTTGGAACTCATACAAATGCTCAAATATTGACTGATAAGACCATTCACTTAAATGGAAAGTTCTATGTAATAACTTGCAAACACATGGGATAAAACTTGACAATGTGACACTGGAGATCCTTGGAAGTGTTCGATTGCACAGTGTGGCAATGACAGTTGTCAGGAGAGGTCCTTAGAAGTGAAGGATTTCTGCAGGTTGTGGAAAGAAAGGGCTGTCCAGGCAGTCTGACTCACAGTAGAAAATCTGCCCTGCCAGAGGAAGATGCATCTGGAAGGAGTGGGATGCATTGTGCTGGTGATGGGTAGGATTGCTGGGGAGCCACTGGGGCAAAGCAGCAAAAAGCTCTCCTTCCCTAGAGAGCTTGCATAAAGCTCTGAGTTTCCACCTTTCATTCTGGAGACAGTAAATGGATCRTGTTTAAAGGTGCCTTTTGCTTTTCCCAGTAACCCACCACTGTCTGAAAAATCAAAGGGAAGTTAAATAAACCACACACGATTGCATTGCTCAGCTTGGCAAGCTACCATCTTCAGGCTGATTTCATGCAGATAACTTCTTGTTTAGTCTCAGAGCCTTCCTCTTTCTTTCTGCACATCTTGACATTTCTTTAAAAAAACATTGTAAAAATACCATTTCTTAAAATACCCCTTTCGTGGGGGTAGGAACAAAGTTGTCTTATATTATTATTATTATTATTACTGTTACTGTTACTGTTACTATTATTATTATACTTATCAGGCTGACTGATTATTATACTATCAGGCTGACTTATTATTATACTATCAGGCTGACTGAATTTTGAAAAATAATTTCATTTCAAGTGGCACTCATAATACATTTAATATTAGGCATCAAGTCTGAAATCTGGAAGTCCACTTATAGCTGCAAATTACAAAATTGATCATAGAGAATATATTTCCACCAAATACAAAGAGTTTTAGGAAAAGGTGGTTTGGTTAATTGTTTGGTTTTTTTTTTTTATTGTAGACTGTGATGAATGTTCATTAGCAAAAAATTGAATATTTGGGGAATTATTGCCATTGGAAAATTGCTCAATGGAGACACTCTTCTCCACACTTTCTTACAAAAAGTGGTAATAAAGTCCATGAAAAAAAGGCCTACTCCTCACACTGACACTCTGAAATTACTCTTTTGTGTTAGTTGAAAAGTGAGACTGTTTCTCCAGATTTGACATTTTACCAGTTCCATGAGTATGTAGAAGTTGGGTAACACTGTCACGGACTTGTTTTGTAAGATTGGTCATTGATTTTTCCTTACCCAGTGATCTCAGCATCTTTATTGGCATCCTTTTTCCATTCACCTGACTCTGGTCCACAGTGCCAGCAAATCCTCCTTTGCTTTTGCAGCAGAGGATGGCAGGAGTTTCCCAGGGAGGCTGGTAAAGGACCCTCARTTGTCTGATCCACATTTTCCACCCCCAGTGCATTGCTGCTGCACAAGTGATAAAGATATTTGGAGGCTGTGGAATGCACATGGGAAATGTGTCCTTTGGGATGCATGAAGTCTGGGTACAGCTGTAGTTCCCCCTGAGGAAATCAGGTGTGGTAGAGGAGGCCCCAAAGTTTGAGAAGGTTGTGATAAGCAGCAAGTTTTTATTTTGTCCCCAAAGCCATTGTCTGTGACAGTGCAGGCATGCAGCAAGCAGGGCAGGGGTGTGAGGCATGGAYTCACCATGCCCAGCTTGGTCTGGCTGTGTTTGGACCAAACACAAGGATACCCAAGCCCACACTCGCAGCTCCCCTTGTTCCAGAGGCTGCTGATATCCACTGAGGAAGCTGCAGCCACTTACTCAGCAGAACCCATGGGGATTACTGAGTGAAGGGCTCCACTGAGCTCTGGTGTTTGGCTGAGGCCAAGCCCATGGAAATTGGGAGATAACACCTGCTGGCATATCTCTGATCCTTAGGGATGGTCCTTACTCGATTGCTGTAAACACAGAGTGTGCACTGTTGACTCTAAACACATGTTCAGAAATGACTCCTTTTGTTTTTTTTTAACAGGGAGATTTTATTATGTATGAAAGCACAGTTAAAACATTTGTTGCAATCAGTAACTGCCAAATCTCTTCCTTATGGATATACAGCATCAAAAACTACACCCCTTTATCAAAAATATTTTCCTTTCTTACGGTCAGTCACCATTCATTGAAGAGATTTCCCTGAAAATATGAGTTTAGGTCTAAGTACATCAGTATCACATGCACATAAACTGACACATGCACAAGTTGCAGCGGTGGAACTGCTCAAAAGCTTGCCCATCCTTAAATTCTTTTCCTCTTCCTTTTCTAGGCACAGAGCACTCCTTTTGTTTCTACTTCCCCTCTTCCTTACCCATGATTCCATTCCATGTTCAACACTGACATATTGTACTGCTTTTTTTTTTTTTTTTTTTTAGTCTTTACTGGTTTAGAATATTTAATGCTTAACAAGAAGCATGTCAGTAACTCAGTGCAGCCATTAAGGCTCTTCATAGAGTAATGCCAACCCCTCAGTGGCAGCAGACAGGGATATTCCTCCATCCCAGARCCTTTTAGACAAAGACAGAGCCATCCTGGTCGCTGGTGTTCATGGTTATGTTGCTGTTCACCACACTTTCTCCATAACTAATTGAATGGGTGACCTGGTAGCGACTGCAGGGCCCACAGAAACACAGGAATGGACAGTACTTCAAGCACACATGATAAAGGTATTTCCTGAATTTTTCCCCAGCAAAGGCATAGATAAGAGGGTTGAGACAACAGTGACTGAATGCAATGGTCTCGGTCAGGTGCATTGCATAGTCCAGTGATTTGATGTGGTTGCAATTTGTGAATAACTCATAGTGATTTAAAGTATCTAGAAAAATCAGTACGTTGTAGGGGGACCAAAACAGAAAAAACACCASCACCACAATCAAGATCAGTTTTATGGCTCGTGCTTTTTTCTGATTTTTGCAGGACAGGAGGGTTTTGATGATCCCACAGTAGCAATAGAATATGATACAGACTGGGATGAAAAAGCCGATGGTGTTCAGCTCCACATTGCAGAACACCGGCCAGATGTTCTCCAGCTTCTGTGGGAAGACAGCAATGCAGTCATTTTCCACCAGCTGGGAGAACACAAAATGCGGCACTGACACCAAAACTGCCATGGCCCACACTCCGCAGGTCACAAAGAATCCATGTCTCACCGTTCTGGATTTCAGAGAGTAAGTTGCCCGGACAATGGCCAAGTACCTGTCGACACTGATAACAGTGATAAAGAACATGCCCCCAAAAAAACCAATGTAATACAGCGAGGAAACAGCTGTACATGCAACAGTCCCAAGGGTCCATCCACGGACTGTGTTGGAAGCCCAGAATGGGAGGGAGATCACAAAGAGAAGGTCAGAGACGGCCAAGTTCAGGAGATAGATGTCAGTGATGCTTTTTTTATTGCCTTTCACAATGGCAAAAACCACCATTAGATTCCCTGTCAGGCCGAGAGCAAACACCACGACGTAAAACAGTGGCAGAAATATTTTCCCAAATTCTTGGATGTCGGTTTTATTGCAGGAGAAAGCATGTTCATCGTAAGCGTATTCAGGTGTTGTTTCTATGTATGGTTCTGTCATGCTGAATTTGCTGGCTAGAGGCAAAATGAAAAGAGGAAAGAAAATAACATTAGAGGGATCTTATATCTGCTGTGGCAAAATACTGAGGAGCTGGGCCAAGCAGCTTTGGGACTTTGTCACTGTTTGGTTTAGTGAGGGTGGTATTACTGTGGAGCGGGTGGTAGTCACACACATTTCACTGAAAATTAACTCTTTAGGGTAAGAAGAAAATGAATGAGAATTTCAGGGCTGTCACATAAGCCCCTGGTTATCCAAATGCTGCAGGAGCAGCAGCACGCTGAGATCTGAGCTCTGCAGGTGGTGCATGGCAGCACCACGAGCAATGCAGACGCAGTGCCAGTCTGTGGGGCAGTGCTGGGCAGGAAATAACACCTCATAAGCAGTTGTTTGTCAGCTTTAGTGCCTGTCAGCACCCCAGCAGCCCCACCTCCCCCACAAGCTAACCCTGGGCTGCACGGGTGGCAAGACACACAGCCTGGCCAGGCCTGAGCTGATGCTTGCTGGCATGCAAGGAGGAGGAGCAAAGTCTGCTCTGGGACATCAGCTGGGAGCAAGTGTTATCTTTGATGAGGCTTTTCTAAAAATCATCCTATGATCAAAGAAGAGAAACTATATTGACCCTTTTCCTCAAGCAACAAAGCATCTCTTGATTGGTCCTGCTCAGGGTGCGAGGTTGGAGCCAGGAATTMATCTTGGCTGAATCCAAAGAGAGTATGGGGTGTAGGCACATGACCTCTGGGATCACTGGTCTGCACACCCAAAAACTCAGAGCACCTGTTGACTCCTCTGCACTCCCTTGGGATGCAGTGTTCAAGTCTCCACAAAGATTTCTGTTTGCAAGGAATCAAAAATCCTATAGGAGTGCAGATGTTGCTGTATTTGGTCTGCTCCCTGGTTAACTAAAGAGTTTCTAAGTATCCGTTACTTGCTTCCCGCTGGCAGAAATTGAGTGTAATACGCTGTGCAGAAACCCAGGGAGRTGAAAACATGGCCAAACCAGCCTGTAAAGGCGAGACTGAAAGAAAAGGTCAGTGATAACAAAACTACAACTAATAACTACCCCTCGGTCACTGTCTTCTTACAGGAATCTCCTGCTGCCTGTACAGAAGGGACTCAGTTCTCAGTTCAGCGACCACAAGCTGTCTGTAACAGAGATTTTTACATCTTCTGTTAGTGGGAGATGTAATCAGTACAACCAAGAGCAGTGCATATCATTCAATGCAGGTCAGGCCAAATCTGCTGAAAGACAAGACAGACTGCTTTCCAGACTGCTGACCACACTGATGAAATTTCTTTTCCCAGATATAAGGAGAGCGTGATCACATTGCCCAGTGGTAGGTGCCRATGTTGTATAATTACTCTGACTCCTGGCACTTCCAKCCAAGTGATTTGAATCTCAGCCTGYAGACCCACATTTCACCAACAGCAGTTGTTTTTATACCTTCTGTTTAAAATAAGCCTCACAGGATTAAAGATGAAATAAAGATGTCATCACATTTGAGATAGTTTTCTATGACGTGGTGGTAACTACAACAATCTTCCCCTTGAGCTGCTACTGCGACCATATCGACATTTTCTCCTAAAGCCTCATTACCAGATATTGTGGTGTTGGCTGTGATGTTCTGGCTTCTTATTTTATAGCAATATCTCATAGAGGGTTTTTTTGGTGCTAGTTGGAAATGCAGGCTCTCCATTTTAAAATGCCTCTTATTCTGAAACCTCAAACCTTAATAATAAGTGCCCTTAATAAAAAGACTCTAGAAAAACATGTGGTTAGCACAGGAAAAGTGGGCTAGAAAGGGCTGTGTCAGCACTGCTAACTCTGGTGCATGGGCACAGTATGGGGAGAGCTGTTTGCAGCAGGCAGGCACACCCATGGGCAGAGCAGCTCTTGCAGCATCTTTCTGTTTGAACTGAGAGCTGAGTCTGCCTTCAGAGTCTGTCCAGCTCCTGCTTGCAGCTCAGTTCAATTTCCAGCCTCTGGGGACTCGGGGTCTGATACCAGCAGATTAAAGGGGTACAAGTAGGAAAAGCTTAGGTGCTGGGGCGGAAGCTGCCAGCAATTGCACACAAGRTACTTATTTTCTACTGGTGAGAGAGCTGAAGAGTTGCCTACAGAGATGGGGTCATCTCTATCTGCCCTGTTGAGGGATACAGATAATGAGCAGGAGGCATCATACATAATCTCAATAACCTGTCCTTTTCTGCYTTGCCATCCTGACTTCTTTCTCCTTTTCTGGGACTAACTGTATGCAGCAGAAGTGTCAGGTTACACCAAGCCTCTTGTGCTGATTATGTGTCACTCTGTCAGTGTCCCCAGCTCCTTTGCCACTGACCTGTAACTGCACAGATGCACCAGAGCCTCCACYTTTCTCTGTGGGCTCATGTGCTCACAGAAGGTTCTTCACTGATGCAGCAATAGCTGAAAGCTTCAAAAGAGACTGACTGGGGCTGGAGCACCTGGTCTGTGAGAAGACACTGGATTTGGCCAGCCCCAACAAGAGATGTCTCAAGAGGGATCTAGTTAGAAGGTGTAAACGTGAAGCAGGCAACTTTCCTCAGGGAAATAAATAGCAATAGCCATGGGAAATCACTACTTAATGTATGAAAAAAAATTTTTGCCTTGACAGTGGTCAAACACCAGAACAGGGCTCCAGGAAGGTTGTGGGATCTAACCCCTGGAGGTACTTGAACCTCAACTGACCCTGCTCTGTGCGTGGTTTTGGACAAGAGGCCTCCAGAAGCCCTGTCCTTGCCTTGTGACTCTGTGACAGAGTCAGACAGAGGTCAGGCTGATTCTGCAAAGTGTCCCAGCTTCTCCTCTGCCATGGAAGCTTCTGTTTCAGATGTGTCTTTCTTTCCTGGTGTGACATCCAGAAGCCTCATCGGACAAAGAGGAAAAAAATGATCAAAGCCTGCTCATATCCTCTTAACACCTTTGCTAATCGTGCAGGCATTTAAAGAGGGTTATTTAGTGGTGCTTGCCTTGACTGTCTGTGCTGTGTGAAATCCCTGATCTGGAGAGGGGGAACGTGCATTRCTTTACTCTCGTCTCTAAAAACCTCTAGCTGTGCTGGTTTCTAACATGCTTGCTCTCTTAATTCATATCTAGAAAGGCAGTTTGTCCATCTGGAGAGTTTCCATTTGTGTTCATAGAAGTCACGGTGCTCTGTTGGACACAGAGGATATCACACATGTACAAAAATGCAGCTCCTACCACAAGTTAGCCCTCAGGTCTGGCAGACTTCTGCCCAGACTTCTGCACTGGCATTGCCTGGAGAAAAAGCTGGATGTGGGAATGGCCACCTTCTTCACTGGAGAACATTTACACAGATGTGCAGGAGGAACTCCTGGTCTTAGTGAAGYAAAGAAAACATCGCTTGTTCTGGGATTTTTCCTGAACTACCTCTTCAGTCAAGTAATGTCCTCTAGCTCACTGATGAGGATCATTTATTTCTACAGTAGCAAATGATTTCCTTTACCCTTGGATGGGCGCTTGTGGARTCTGTGATACCTGCAGCAACAGGAAGGGTAAGATTCTGTATAGCATGTCCAGGGCAAGCAAGGACTGCACATACCAAAATGACATTGACCTTTGAATCTGSTGGCACTCTGTGGCTTTTTTCCCTCTCTAGCTCTTGGATTTTGTATATGAGCAGTCACACACTCATATCCAGAACTCGTCCTGCATAGTATGTCACCATTGTTTGAATATTTAGCTCYTCTGATACCCCTTTGCTCAATTTAAACTGATGATACTCAGTAGGTGGTTGCAAAGTCCAAAAGGCTCCCAAAACCCTGTCCATGCYAGACAGGAATAATGTGTTGAAATGACATTGCCCCTAAAGAGAGAAATTCAGGTCTGCCCTTGCTCCATCCTTCCCTGCCAGGTACTCTCTGTCAGCCTCTCAAAGGCTCATGCTCTGGTCTTCTCACCATCACCTGCAACCCAATTTTATCTTTTATGCTCACAATAAATGTTCACCAAAGAGACAGAGTGAACAGAAGAGTATAGAGGACACTATATAGGACTCTATAATAGAAGCAGGATTACAGGGCTTTGAGATTTCTCCACCAGACATTTTTCCTTGCTGACTACACAAAACAGTAGATTCACTTCTGCTTCTCCTGGAGCTGCTCAACCACTTTCTCTCTCTCCAGATTTCCCCAGCAGTTTTACACCCTACTCTTCCCAAACACTTCTGCTCTTAATCGTGTTTACAGCTATCTCAAAGACCATATTCTGCAAGACCAAGACCCCTGTTTCTCAACCCAGCAATTCCCACCACCATCTGCACCCCACATAACACATGGGGAAGTGAAATTGTGAGAGGTTTGCAAACTCCTGAAAGGAGCAGAAGTTGCRTTTCAATCTATAAACAACACTGGCATTAGGCTGGGTGACAAAAGAGCCAAATCCTATTTATGCATCTGATCTTTCCAGGTGTCATCCCTAGCACTTCAGCCAAGTGCCCCATTACAGGTTTTACTGCCARAAAGAGGGGGATCTACAAGCACTTTGCCTCCTGGTGATGTCTCTCCTGACACCAAATTAAAAGAAGTGAAACAAACAACCAAATCCAGACCTCTTCCAGAGGGTCACACTCCAGATTTGCACAATACACAATTAAAGTCTTTAAACCTCAGAAAGATTTTCACAACTTAGTCAGCATTTCTGAGTGAYGCTGACTTACATGCTTTTCTCATGCTGACAAAACATGTTTTCAAAACATGCTGAACAGGCTGATGCTTCAGCTGGCCTTGGGAAACTGCAGGCTTTGTGGGAACCCGTGTGAAACCCTACAGGTGTATATCCCCTTTCCACCCTTAGATMTGAGCTGCCATCACCCTACACAAATATAAATGTCCTTGCTTTTTTTTGTATTTGCAACTACACCTACCTGCTGCTTCTCTGCAAAAGCATAGGCATGACCTCAGGCCAAATGAAATGTTGTAGCTATGGTGGCACTTCTAACATGGAAAAGAAAGAGACTAAACTAAAATAACCGCAAYTGGATGGGAACTAGGAGGAGATGTGAGCTTCAATAACACTCTGGGTAAAATTTAAGCAGCCAGGCACCAAGCAGCTACCACACAATCATCAGGTTGCCACGGACACCTCTAACCACAGCTTAGATAAYACACAACCCAAAACTTAGACTTACGGGTAGTACATTAACCAGAGATGAGCCCAGTTGCTAACCGGTTCCTGTAATTCACTCAGTTCATCTTTCAGAGGAGGGTGGTTCCATTCATAGGGGATGGCCTCTGGAGTTGCTTGGGATCATGTTGGACAGCCAGGGTCAAAAGCAAGCCCATCTCAGAGGATGTAGTTACTTTAAATCTTAAATTCAAGTATTTTATTCAGTTCTGAAGTGAGGAGATGTTCTCCCTGTTCCACCCCTGCATGACAACCTTCAAAAGTGGGAAGCAAGGTGAAACGGCTGATATAGCCTAACCTTTAACCCAGGTAAAATGAAATTTAAACTGTTAAGGGGCAGAGTGCAGCTAAGGCCAATCTGTGTTGCTTTATAAAAGAGGAGCTTTTAGTTTGCACTGATGGGATTGCAAGGTTGATAAAGGGAGCTGTGTGGGAGAGTTAGATTGCACTGATTTGCACTCCATGCTTATTTGGTTGACACATCTCCAGCCCAAAGCAAGCCAAACAAAGCATTGCAATGGAATTTGGACTGAGTTATCAGATCTCAAAAGACAGATATCCATGGAGGAAGCCTCTCTGAACTAGGAATATTGCTTGTAAAATGTTTGTGGAAATGACAAGTTGAAAGCCAAAAACTCTTAGGTATTTTCATCATTGCTCTGAAAGCACAACGGCAATGAGAGCTGGCAGGGACACATGAAAAAAGGATTACAGAATCAGAGAGTATTTCAGACAATCTGAGTAATTTGGGGCTTCTTGGATGATTCACATTGGTGCTAACATAGCCAGATGTAACCAAAGCAACACACTTGAGAGTGGGGGCACATCCGAAAGGAAACTTGACTGCAAGAAGAGCTGATACAACCCTCAGGTGCTAAAAGAGCTGCAAAATGGGAAGGAAAAAAAGAGGGATGACTTCAGCATTGCAGAGCTTGATACAAGGGCTGTAGGCATAATTTGATAATACCTGATTTCACTTTTGCTTGTGTTAGTAACCTTGGTAATTATTTGAGTGGGGTTAGTCATACCTGACAGTGATACATGGAAACTCAAACCAGAAAAATCCAAGACAGGAGTAAAAGGAACATTTTAAACAGTGGAAGGCTAATGACTGGGACAGGCTTCAGGTAGGAAAAGGACATATTTGCATGTCTGAGAGAAGGTATGGGTCTGGTAAATGGGGTTGGCTGGACACAGTGAAGAAGCTCAGCAGGAGGGTGCTGGGTTAAACCCTACAGCCCGGATAGGCAGGAAGGCAGACCTTGTTGGGACACATATCTTTTACAAACCATGACTCTCTTCTGGAAATAAATTATTGAAAAAGCTAAATTGTCCTCACTTTTAGGTGAGAACATTTCTGTCTTTGATGTTTCTTCTTTCTTCAGCCATTTATTCTCAGATCAATTGGACTGTTTCTGTGGCCCATCAGAGTTCTGCAAACCTAATGATTGCTTTTCTATTTGGCTGGTTTAATTTATGAAGGCTCCCCCCAGTAATTGGAGGATAAGTTTTTTTAAAAGCAAGTAGTTCTTTGTGATGCTTTGTTATTGAATTTTTCAATTCAAGGTGAAGTTGAAGGTGCAGAATTATGATGCTGAGGCTTTCAAAGAATTAGGCCACTTCAGTAAATGACTCAGAAATGGAAGCCGATAAAATCACTGTTGATAAGGACAGATTTAAGGCTAAATATTGCAGAGGCCTTTGACCCCTTTTCAATGGTATTTACGTCAAAGATATTTTTAGAAATGTCACTTCCCTGATCCAAKTCTACAGTTTTTACACTAATATCACAAACTAAATTGGAAGCGTACACCACTAGCTGAAGATGAGAAGTATGTAAATCTATAAACTTAAACCAGTAGTTTTTGGAGAAAAAAGAAAAAAAAAAATTTGAAAAGATCAGACTTTGATCATGGAAGGCAGGAGGAGATGATGTGGAGTCTAAAATCCCTAGGGTCTCTCTCACCTTTGCCTAGGGCATTATAGTTTTGGTAAGTGCTTCCTCAAAGGTACTCCATGCTCACCTGGAGGTAACTGCAGCAGAGAAATTAACCAGGGCACAAATTTCATATTAACCCACCACATCAAAATTAGGTGTATTCATGATTTATAAAGAAAACACAAAAACATGGACTTAATGCTGTCTCTGCCAGTGGCAAAAGCTTCATCACCTGCCTTTCAGAGCAACAACAGAGATGTTATTTTGAGCAAGATCTTGCCCTTGCTCCATCCTAACTCAGGCCATTTGTGCACAGCAAAGCAGGCACAGGGGACTGAGCCCAGATGCCCTGTGCACATCCTGCCCCCACTTTCTGGTTTTGTTGCCCCACCAGGAAGAGTTGCTGTGAGCCATGCAGAAGGGACGGCTGCACCACAGCGGTGTGTGGTTTACTGGGGCTGTGGCAAGCCCTGCCAAACCCCTGGCAGCTCATCCCCATGGTGTATTTATAGCAAAAGCTGAAGTTCTCGGTGGTTTCAGCTCCTTCCCTCAGCGCTGGGGAGGACAAAGCCCCTCTGAGGCTGACAGGGTTGACATGCAGGAGCCTTGGTGCCTGCCCACTTAAAGGAGCAGGGAACAGGTTCAGCTTTCAGGGCATGCCCAAGTCTCTTGAGCAAGTGAAGCTGTTTCAGAAATGCATTTAGGAAAGATGGCCTGACAATATGACACAGACTCAACGTCTCCCTGCATCTTAAAATTGAGGCCCAAAAATCACTGAAATGGTTCTGAAATTTGCATCCATGTCTCTCAGGGTAGTCTGGATCCTATCACCAGAAGCAAGGGTCCTCAGCAGTCTCTGCAGACTGACATGGTTTCCAGGCAGTGTCCTCCTCCCAGGGACCAGCCAGGGGATGGAAAATTAGGTAAATGGTGAGTATTGTTGCAGAGCTGTATTCAYTTTAGTCCTCACAGAGGCAGGGGAGCACTTTAACTCAGCTGCTGGGGAAGAGGTGGCAGAACTGGGGGAGCAGATGCCTTCCCAAAAGCTGTCCAAGGGGAACTGAGTGTTTGGGAGTGTCATCTGATGATGGTGACTGGATACCAGGATCAGGTTTATCTTGGAAAATTTCTTTGATGGCTATTTCATCTAGCCTGTTCATTCCCCTAATTGTCCTTTCTGCTTTCACAGTTGATCAGGAACTCTATATAGTTTTTTTTAAATGTGTATAGCTGAGCATTTTGCCAGTGTTTGCTCTTACCTGCTTTTCTTCAGTATTTCTTTTTCCCAGGCCTTCCCTTCTTAAGCAGCATTCAAATTTCTTTTGTATTTTCTGTTGAAGGGACAGTAAAAGCAGATGATTATTTGTAGCTATGAGCAGTGTTTGTACTTGTTTAGGTTACCATTGGCTCTGTCCTCTCACTGCCTTTGTGGTGGCATTTATTTGTTTCCTGTCCCCAACCCCTKTTTGTGATTAATAATTTCACATTGCCTCAGCATCCCCAACACATCTGAGAAGACTCTCTAGCAGTGGGAGATCTTTTAAATCATCTTCTCCATCATTTCAGAGAGCAGAACACATTACCTCTTCTTGACTGTGTATGAATGAGATTTAAGTTTTGGGGTTGCCAGCTCCCTCCTGGGAATATCAACTTTTCAATGAGATTTACTTTCAGTTTATTATGTGTTGTCTTTTGTAAAATTTTAGCCTTTWCTTCTCCCTTTTGGACTTTTTCTGCACTAGCCAAACCCTTGTAATTCATTTCAGGTACTGCCTTTTATCCTGTCATCCTGTTCTCTGCCTCTGGCTGCACTGCCTGCACACAAGGTTTGCCCCAACAGATTAGATTTTGCGAAATTGTTTTCGAAATTGTTTGGGAACTTGTTTATATCACACAAGTACTTAGCAGGCTGCCACGATTGTATTACTGAAACTATCCAAACCAGCAGACATCTTTATATGACATCTTTCCTGTGGAAAGCTGAGTCACAGAGAAATCAAGTGCATCATACAGAAAGGTAAGCAATTTCATAATTTTTTCTATTTCCCTTCTGGTCTGTCTGTATCAGATGCTTTCTATTGACTCTGCCAGATTTTCTGCTTTGGGTGTGGGTTCACTGACCAAAACTAGAAGCAAGCAATGCTGGTGAGTTTTGGTTGTGTCTTCTTGGTCCATCCTTCTGGGTTAATGCTGCACACTAGTCATGTATCAGCATTTGCTAATCTTGACGATTTCTATCCACGGTGCCTTGCCACAAGATGCCACACATAATTAGTGACTGAATAAAATTCATCTGCCCTGGTTTACTTCATTAACAAAAGTGCTTCCCTTTCYACCTTCACWGTTTTTAAACATTAACCACACMATCTTTACCCAAATWAAATATAATTTAGATTCCAAGCAYTAAGAAGTGAAGAATTTCCTGAAGTCCATGAGACACCGTTTCATCTCATCTTGCTCTGTCAAATTATAGGGAAAATATAATTGTTTCTTACCTTAATTCATAGCTGCATTGAAAACTAATGTTTTCTTCAAGCTGAGCCTTGTTGGATTCAARTGTGTGTTTCCTCTTCTGCAGTGGTCATGCCTACATGCACTGTGCTGTTGGTTTCCTGGGCTGAGCTTTGGGCTGAGCTGAGAGCATGAATGTGCTGTGATTGAGTTCTACTGGTTTCTCTGTAAAATTGTCAAGTACGGTGCAGTCACTCAAAGGGACAGAAGTGCTCACAGAGGACAGGACTTGCACAGAAGACAGAAGTGCCTGAGGTGCTTCACACTCAGCATGTCAAAGCTGTCGCCCCCTGAGTTGCCCCCATTCTGTGCAGAATGAGATATTTTTCACTCAGACACAGTACAGTGTGCAGAAATACAAGTTTGGTACAATAGCAGGGGCCTTGGGCAGTGGGGATGCAGGATGCGGCACAGAGAGTACAGGTAGGGGATGGTGGAAAATGGGGAATAGGCTGGCACTGAGGAGCCCCAAAGCTGTACACAAATCACTGATTTTAAAAATGCTGATCTGGAGCTGGCAAAACTGGGTTTAGTGGTAACAGAGAGAATAAAATTAGTGTCTGATGTGTGTAAGGGGCACTGCACACAGTATGTTGTGTATAGAGCAGTGAAGAGAGAAGAATGTATGGCAGCATTTTGGAAAATGATCCAAAGCAGATCCTAGGAAAAGACAGAAGAAAAATCAGGGTGGACATTGCATTAATCCCAGGGATGGACTGGAGATGCTGACAGCTTGTTCTGACACCTCACTTCACTGCAACCACCCAGGTGAAACCACCAAAAGAAGCAGGGAAAGRGTGAGCATAACACCAGGAAAATGGATAGAAACTATGTGTGTGCAAAAAAATTAAACTGCAATAGTGTTCTTGTTTTTCCACAAACAGAAAATCTAAATTGATAACAGTTAGAGCCTTGAGAATGCCAATTACACTAACAGTACGTGCTTGGTTCTACCTATGCATGCATTGTACCTCCTTTTTGCCTGTAAATTATATTTTACACATAATGTCTCTCTGCAGCCCAGAATCAGTGGAGTCTGAGAGTTTAAAGCATTGGGATGTTCATTAATCAAAGGCCCTTCTTGGCCCCTGACCCGAGCATCCTGTTCAGGGTTGCATTATGAGTGCACCACACTGGGATGCCCTGAAGCACATTGCCAGGCACTGGTGTTGCACAAAAAGCTGTTCATCTGGGGTGAAGCCAGRCAGGAGGCTGTGCAGTGGGGTGTGTTTTGAGAAACTGAGACTCTACATCTGGCTAGTGCCTGTACCAGTACCAAGGTCCTCCAGCACACACAGGAATACAGCCCTGGAAACACCTCCAGGTACTGCYCCTGCTTCAAACATCAAGGGAGAATAAAATGCCTTCTCTCCAAAGGCTGGCTTGTACTATCTTCAGGCAGGCTGACCTTGGTGGGATTTTTGGGGTGGRGAGCATCTTCCAGGTTGCCTGAGCTGTTTCTCGTGGACTGGTTAGCAAGTTGCCAGGCAAACATCTTCATGTAAGTTTTGTTCTGGCATTTTTGCCAGTTACATGTTTGGAATTTTTTACTGTGTTATGCTTTATCTAGCACATGTTGCATCCCCAACAGCTACATAGCAATGTAAATAAAGTCAAACTATGGGCCTCCAACATCAGCCAAATTATGCAAGGGATGTCAGCTAGGTGGGCCGGGACAAGGATGTGTGGAAATAATCAGGGAACTGACTCCTGGAGAGGTTACTCCTGGTTAGCCAGGACCAGCAAAGATACACTGCTGAAAATAAAGTTTAAAGGTTAGGGAATTATAAAAGGCCAGAGCAGCAGATTTTCAAAATTCACCTTTTTCTCTGACAAGTGCCAGCAAACCCATCCTACCAATTTTTTTAAATAAATGTAAAGCACTCTGCATTGTTTTTAGGACAATATCAAAAGGGTAATGGCTGGTTTCTCTTCACACCCTGAAAGTATGATCTGTGACTGACAAAATTATGAACTTTTAACTTTCCAAAAGATAATTTCTGGTAGATGATACTAAGGAAACATTCTCGTTGCGTGAGAACCATGAGATTCACAAAGTTGAATGAAGGCTTCATTGATGCCAGTGATAGTCTGATATTATCATGGTAGCAGAKCYRGGTCTGCAGAAGATGTGCTGTTGTKCAGAGGAYACCYAAATCTAAACCTGTTTCCCATATCTTCAGGGGTGTGATGGAGGGCTGTGTCCCTCCAACCCCCACCTCCCTCAGCCTTATAAAAAAGGTACAGATAATCCAGTAGGAGCTTTCCCACTGGGGACCTGCACATGCCAAGCTGGTTTGCTCCTGACCTGTAAAATGTGAGCAGAACCCAGACAGACACAGCCACCCTCACCGCAGTGGGCAGCTGCTCCTGGGTCACCAATACTCAGCAGAGTACCCTTGGTGTAGCTCTTTGCAGCAAAATCCTTGAGAACAGGGGTCAGGACTGCCCATACACAACAGCAGCGAAGGCTATCCCCAGCTATTGCTTGCCTCCAGACAGAAAGAACCTCCTAGCAGCAGGGTTTTTCTGGAGGCAGTCATCAACCTCTTCCTCCTGGGCTGCCCAGAATTTAACTGGAACYGAGCACCGAGCAGGCTCTTAAGCTCAAAAAGAAATGAGGTTTGCAAAAAAACCCACACAGTTTTTATCTGGAGAGTTGAATTAAAGAGAAACCAAGTCAGGCTGACTCACAGAGGTCCYCAGCAGGTCTCCCCAGGTGACAGAAAAGGCTTTCTGCTGTATYCTGCTGTGAGTGATAACCCTAGATAAGCGTGTGGCTCATTGTCCTGGTGTGTACTTGTAGTGCAAAATAGACAGGTGTGAAATCAATACCACCTGAAAGACAGCTGCAACATCAACAATATTTCTGCTCTCCATCTTCAGTCTCTGTTCACACTCTGGTAATCAGGACACAGCTCAGAAATAAGAATGTCTGAGGAAGCTGCCAAAAAGACTCTCATTCTGCTCCATACACGATGGAGAAAAAACATTTTTTGTTTCTCCAAGCTAAAACAAAAAAGACATTGCATTCCTTGTAACCAGAGAGACTTTTCCTGGGAAAGGCTAGGTAGAATGTGCTGCCTTCCCAACTGGCACACAATGATTTTACAGGAAGAAATCAAGAATAAAGAATGTATGTGCAGGGACTCAGTGGGTAAAGAGGGACAAACACCTGTTCTTTTTACTCCRTTTCCCTCTCCGTTGCCTTCCAAATTTGAAAACTCATTTCTCTCAATACCTGGAGATACCAATGGTACTCTAACACAACTGACATCTCCTCTCCTCCCACTCTGTGGTCAGTGCCAGATCAGCTTGGGTAGGTAGGCTTTTGCATAGCAGCACTGGCAAGTTCAAGCTTTGTGGACTAAAGCACTTGGTAAAGAAATGTCTGGCCTGAAGGATGAAGATGCTGTTCTTCCCCAGCACACTCTCCTTTTGCTGCCATGGGGGAAAGACTGATGGTGACAGTTTTCTACAAAAAGGGGCTCTCTTGGTTCTCAAGAATTTCGGTGGAGTCCCCTSTGCAGAGCCAAYGGAGAACAGTAATGGCCTGGGGATACCTGCTCCATCCTCCCAGGATGGAKCCCCGGAGTGCCACGGGAGCTCTGTGATGCCGAGCTGCGCTTCGTGGCTCAGCAGCACGACACGCACCATAGCCGTGACTGCGCCGACCCCTTCTGGACATTTTTCTCATAATTTCTCCAAAACTCTCGTCTTTTCTATCAGCCTGGTTGAAGCGCTTCTGGAGGTGCATCCCTGTCACATCCTGTTCCTCCCCGGCTGTCCTGTAGCAGAGCCCACCCGGCAGCTTTTGGTGCAGATGTGAGCACCAGCTGCTCACACAGAGACACACACAACCCTTCACAGAAATAATTTCTGTGCCTCACTTTTGAGAGAAAATCCTGCAGAGGGGGCCTCATCTCTTCATATCAYTGTTCTGCAGAGATGCAAGAAGGCTACAGGCTTTTCCAGCCACCAGTGGGAGATGCATTTATTCTTCATTAGAAAGGTGGGGAGGCAAAAATCACCCAGAATGAGGAAGAGAGAAGTTATGTCTAGGGATGAAAATGTTTCATCCAGAAGGCTAGTGAAAGGAAGAGCCACAGGAAGCTGAAGGTTTGCACACTTTCTGCAAGCAGAAGGAGTGTGTCTCAAATAGTTATCAAAAATCAGGAGGAACATTTATTCCCTCATTAGAAATGACACAGAAGGGATAAGATCATTGAAACAGTTTAGTTCTTAGGCTCACTCATGCCTCGGTGACCACATCTGTGYTCCTGAGCTCCAGCTGTCATGTGGAGATGGAGCTGTCCTGCTCTCAAGAGRGGGCAGAGGCTCAGCCAGGTTTCCTGTGGAGGTGTCCTGCTCCCCTGGGACAGGTGATGTGCCTGTGAGCTGCTCGGATCTGCCTGTTTCAAGGCGTACCTGACTTACACCAATCACTCAGAGTGCATCTTGAGGCTGCACCACTTGTGAGGTCAGCTGCAACAATAACAGCAAGACCCAAAAAAGATGAGAAGCAGCCTGTGGCTGGGCAATCACATTCCTTCCCTCCCAGGCTCATCCAGGCGGGAGGAATGGCTGCACAGCCACACTCCAGCAACCTGCTGTTCAAATTGCTGAATAAAGAAAGGCCTTTCCTCCCTCCTTCCTCTCTTCTGCCCCCCTTGTGCTGCTTTTGAGAGCTGAAGCTGTCGGGTACATTTTCAGCAGAGCTGCCCCTCTCTCTGCAGGGCTGCAGCAGAGCACGCAGCAGGGCAGTGAGATGTGCAGGGATGGTGGTGCAAGACGTGCACAGGTACAGGGACAGACTGACATGGTGAGAGAAGAGAGTGGAAGTGCTGCCTGCCTTGCAGTGAGCATGGACAAAAGAGTCAAGAAACCACCCAGCGCTGCTCTTTGCTCTCAGCCCAGCTGAATATCTGAGCATTRGRGRAYAAGGCATATTTCCTCTGCTCCTTGYTGTATAGGAAAGACGCTGCCTTTTGACAGCTGTTTTGCAAACATTTCTTGCTACACCGGTCTCTTTGCCTTGATGAGTGCTGCAGGCAAGGTTGGTACTGAGTGAAACACCAAGGACAAGTCAGGGGTGTGTCCTTCCTTCCTTCCTTCCTTCCTTCCTTCCTTCCTTCCTTCCTTCCTTCCTTCCTTCCTTCCTTCCTTCCTTCCTTCCTTCCTTCCTTCCTTCC